TTCAGATAGAGCGGGAGGGAGAGAGAGGCAGAGAGAGAGAGAGAAACATCGATGTGAAGGGACACATCGATTGGCTGCCACCCACATGACCAACCAGGGCCGGGGACAAACTGCAACCGAGGTACGTGCCCTTAGCGGGAACCGAACCCGGGTCTCTCTGTACCGCAGGCCAACGCTCCAACCGCTGAGCCAAACTGGCCAGGGCATCCCCTTATTCTTATATAAATCATATGAAATAAGGTATATGATATAAAATTATATAAAACAATTTAAAATGTTAAAAAAAAATAAAATGAACCCTGGTTGTTTGCTCAGTGGTTGGCGCATCATCTTGTACACCCAAAGGTTGCAGGTTCGACCCTCAGCCAGGGCACATTATGAAAGGCAACCTATCCTCGCCTTGGCCAGTTTGGCCCAGTGTTTAGAGCATTGGCCCATGGACCAAAGAGCTGCAGGTTCAATTCTAGTCAAGGACACGTGCCTTGGTTGTGGTTCAATCCCTGCCCCTGGTTAGGGATGTGCAGGAGACAATCAATCGATATGTCTCTCTCACGTTGCTGTTTCTCTCTCTCCCACCCTCCTTCCCTCCCTCTTATTATCTGAAAATCAATGGAAAAATATCCTCAGGTGAGAATTTAAAACATAAATGGCTCAATGGATTGAGCATCATCCCATGGACTGAGAGATCTCGGTTTGATGTGTTGCAGGCTCGATCCCCAATAGGGGACGTGCAGGAGGCAGCTGATCGATGTTTCTCACATTGATGTTTCTCTCTAAAAAAAATCAATTTTAAAAAACCATAAAAAATAATAACGAAATAATTCCCTTCAGTCCTGATGATAAATAGTGATAACTATTTTTTCTCATATACTGAGAGCTAAAAGAATCCTTAAAATTGCTTTGTACAAATGAATAAAAATTCCAAACATTTTTCATAGTTGCCGAATAAATCAAGTCATTATTTATATCTTTACGACAACCTGACTGAAAAATCAAATACTTTTGAGTCCTCTGAAACAGGAAAAGATAAACTATTCTATATGGACCCTAAACAAATTTTCAATGGAAGAAGTCTTTCTGATATCTAATTTCTGCCTCTCACCTAACCAGCCTAGACTTTGATGCAACAATTCCAAGTTCTCTAAACTAGATAAGTTAGTACTATCCTCCAAAATTGTTCCCTCTTTACCTCGAAACACCCATTTCTAAAGGACTGCTCCCAATGTCATATCAGATTACTGAAGATAAATTTATACCAAATAGTAAGGCCTAAATATTACCCCATAGATATAGATTACAGATGCTTCTAACTTACAATGGGGTTATGTCACAATAAACCCACCATAAATTGAAAATATCCTAAGTCAAAAACCCATTTAGTACACCTACCCTACCAAACATCTTAGTTTAACTTAGCCTACCTTAAATGTGCTCAGAACACTTATGCCACTAGGCTGTCCTCCAGACTCTAATGTGGCTCAATACCTAAACTACCTCAGGAGTTATGCTTGCTTCCAAGAACTAAAAAGTATTGCCCAACACAAAATGAAGAGGGCCCAGCACAAAAACAAAATGATGATGGGACATCGTGTGCAAAAAGGGCCATGTTCAAAAGTGCTGAGTGCAACAGAATAATCATGCATGCCTAAAAGAATTTAATCACCACAGCCTGTAAATATAAAAGGCTCCTTCCAGTGCTGTTAGAGCATAAGCTCACCCTTCACCATTCCTTCACCAAATAAAGTTTTTGCTTTGCTTTAGGGAACTGAGTCTTGTTCTATTAGCATGAACTGGAACTTGGTTTGGGTTCCTGATCTGTAAAGGTTGGTAACACATTCGCCCACACTTAGGCAAAATTATCTGGCTGCTGCTGTCCATTATCATGAGAAAATATCATACCACCTATCACCAACCCAGGAAAAGGTGAAAATTTAAAATTCGAAGTACAGTTTCTACTGAATGCATATTGCTTTTGCACCATGGTAAAGTTGAAAATATCGTTAAGTTGAATCACCCTAGGTCATGCACCATCTGTACTCCATAACTGCAAAAGGAAATTCTTACAATGGAGAGGCTATCACCACCTTATCCAAGAGCTCAAATTTAAGATTACTAATAGGATAACTTTACTTTATGTCTTCTGATGTATAATGTGAAATATACTGTATGACTTATGAAGTTATCCTGCCAAAAATATGCCTGATCTACTCAAGGAATACAGGCAATTGAGGGTACAATGTAAACCCAAAGAGAAGGGAAGTGTTAATAAAATATAGAACGTGAATTATTCTGCAAGATCACTGACCTAGCCTTTTCAAACAGTGGATGTCATCACCAGATAAAAAAAAGGGCAGGGGGTCAATAAATTAAAAGAAACTAACACAAACAAATCCATGATTGAATACTGATAAACGATTAAAAAGGACATCTGGGAAACCACAGGGAAAATGTGAATACTACATACATAAAACAGATTGTAGGAATCATTCTTAACTTTAAGTTTGATTGTGGTATTGTGATTATATAGAAAACTGTCCTTAATCTTATGATATACATACCGACACACATACAGTACTTCAGTGTGAATTGTCATGATATTTGCACTGGGCTTTGAGAATTTTCACCAAAAAAGAATGTGAAATGGGTAGAGAAAGCAAATGTGGCAAAATGGTAATAACTATTAAAACTACAAGATAGATATGTGTTCAAGCTATTCCTCAACTTTTTAGCGTTTGGGGAAAAAATAACATGAAAAATAAAAAAAGCTGAAAGGTTCAGCAATTCTTTTTTTTTTTTTTTATCCTCACCTGAGAATATTTTTCCATTTTTTGTACAGATAGAGTGGGAGGGAGAGAGAGGAAGGGAGAGAGAGAGAAACATCGACGTGAAGGGACACATCGAGCGGCCGCCACCCGCACGACCATCCAGGGCCGGGGACAAACGTGCCCTTAGCGGGAACCGAACCCGGGTCTCTCCGGACCGCAGGCTGACGCTCTAACCGCTGAGCCAAACTGGCCAGGGCGGGTTCAGCAATTCTTAAAAACAATGTTCAAAAGAAAGGGCAACTGAGTAGTATTTCTTCAATTTTACAGGTGAGCCTCCTTGCCTCGTCTCACTTAACCATACTCTCTTAAAAAATAAAGCATATATGTCCAGTTGGTGTGGCTCAGTGGTTGAGCATCGATCGACCCATGCATCAAGAGGTCATGGATTGGATTGCCGGTCAGGACACATGCCCAGGTTGTGGGCCAAATCCCCACTGGGGGACATGCAGGAGGTGGCCCACCGATGTTCTCTCTCATTGATGTTTCTATCTCTCCCTCCCTCTCATTTCTTTTTTCTCTAAAATATCAATAAAGAAAAAAAAATTTTTTTTATATGTTTTTTTATCCTCACCCGAGGACAATTTTTGCATTTATCTTCAGATAGAGCAGGAGGGAAAAAGGGAGGGAGAGAGAGAGAGAAACATTGACATGAGAGAGAGAGACATCAAGTGGTTGCCATCCACATGACGCCAACCAGGGCGGGGGACAAATTGCAAGCGAGGTACGTGCCCTTAGCGGGAACAAAACCTGGGCCTCTCTGGTCCACCGGCCCACGCTCTAACCGCCGAGACAAATCCGCCAGGGCAAGAAAAAATATTTTTTTAATAAGTAAAACATAATATAGTGAACTGAGCACTGAATGAGGAATCAGAAGACCTAAGGTTCTAGAAATGTGTCTATTACTTCTCAGCCATGACCTCATTAAAGAACTCTCCTGGAGGCTCTTTCCTCACCTTTTTGCAGTACAAATCAGTGGGTATCAATGACAGATACAAATGCTAGATACACTTGCAAGGATATTAGCACTGATGTTTGGAAACATCCAGTGCACACAGCCCGAACTTAATTTCTAAGCAAACCAGGGCCCTCGCAGGCACGGTAAGTTTCTGCTGAGACAGCTTGAGTTGGCACAGTCATCCCCCATGCAGGACGCCTCACAAATGCCCAGAGGCGGCTTTTGTGCTTAAAAACTCGCCTACCTTTCAATGCACTGTTTAAAGGCATTAAATGATGTTAAATTTGTAAGACACAGTCCAAACTTGAAAACCACAAACATAAATAAATAAATAAATAAATAAATCGTAAGTGCGCAGAATTAAAAAAAAAAAAAAAAAACTAAAAAAGTATTTGCAACACAAAGAGAACCCCTTGGACCAAGATCTTGCAGACGCGGGTTCACTTTGCCATCTCCCTTCTCTAGCAGATCTCTCTTTAATGCGTGAAAACTTGAGACAAGTTGGGAGGAACTCCTTCCATCTCTAGGGCAGGATACAAAAACCTCAGAGTGAGATCATTCTTTCCGTCTCACGAAGAAGTGAAGCCTAAAAGCTCAATGTGAAAACTGTCTCCCCAAGCCCACGTCTTCCCTCGGGGCCCTGTTTCTGGAGACAATACCACGGGACGCCCGCGGCAGAGCAGGGCAGTCCCTGGAAGAGGAGGAGGGTGTGAGCGTGCAAGGACCGGTCCCGCGGGGCCCTGGGCCCTCCGACCGGGTCGCACCGCCGGTGGTCTCTGCCTACGCCGGAGGAGCCCGGGGAGGGCCGCTGTGAGAGGAGCACGGTGTGCGCCAAACATCCGCACAAAATGCTGGCAAGACCGAGGGGAGTCGGTTCCAGGGAGAACAGCCCAAACCAGGCTGGACACACGGGCGCACGGGCCTCGGGCGAGAGGAAGAGGAGGCGGAGGAGGAACGCAGGCGGCGGCCTGTGCGGCCCCAGCCCGCCGCCCCAGCCGGTGCCGCGTCGCGCCCGGGTCCCTCCCACGCTGGGGCCAGCGCAAGATGGCGGGCCGGCCGCCGTCGCGCAGCCAGTCCCCTTCCCCGCTCCCTGGGTGCCCTCGGCAACCCGCGTGGCCTCGACACCCGCAGCCCAGCGCCCCGGAATGAGGCAGCGCAGGCCGCGCGGGAGGGCCTCTGGCTGCTGCGGCGCGGGGCGGGCGGGGGCGGGGGGCGCTTACCGTGAACGGAGCGGATCGGCCTGACTGGGGCCCTGAGGAGGAGGAGAAAGAGGAGGAGGAAAAGGAGGAGCACGAAACACTACACGGCGACGGCGGCGGCTCCCATTGCGGAGTAGGCAGCTGAGCCGCGGGAAGGAGGGCGGGGGGTTTTCGTGGAGCCCGCGCGCTGCCTCATGGGTAGGCTCCGGGTCCGTCTCCGCGCGTCCAGGTTCCCTTTCTTCTCTCCCGCCGGGAGCCGGGTTGGGCATGTGCGCCGTGTCGCAGGCCCACGAAGGTCCGGGCGAGCGAGGCCCTGGGCCAGGGCCCGGGGCGACTGTGGGTGCCTGCCTGTCAGTCTGCAGGCCAGCCCGCAGGGGCTGCAATCCCAAATCCGGCCTCCCGAGGTGTATCAGCTAGTTTGCCCCGAGGTGTATCCGCTAGTTTGCCGCAGGCTTGGACGTGAGTCCAGGGAAAGAGGCACCACTATAAAGAAGTGCGGTGCCCAAGATGTGAAGACGTAAACCAGATCAGAAAAAAGAAGTGAAGTCAAGTTCTTTTAATAATTGGCTAATTTTGCCAAATTTGTTTCAAACAAATAATTTTGCTCGTGTCTCCTTTCATTCCTAACACTGCCATATAGATGCCTGTAATACCGGGGGAGGGGGGGGAGTGTTAAGATAAATGCATTTACGAGAACACTTGCCAAGATCATGTTTTCATATATACTCAATAAACACTGTATTCTCACCGATAATAAGGAAAGTTTCCTTTCTGCCATTCGCTTCACAATAGCAATGGCAGTAGTGGTCCAGCTCTCAAGAGTGGCCTGGATTTGAAATCTTGCTTTTTCTTAGATCTTACCACACATACCATCACTGCACCCAACATTCAGTCACTGAATACTTCTATTCTAATGCCTATTTGAATTAGTTTCTCCTGCTTCATTATGACTGCTCTAAACTCTTCTCTACTGTTTATCGTTCTAGTTGCTTCCTTGCTGATTACTGTTCCCAGATCAATCTTCCCCAAAGGCCACCCGCATCTCCCCTAGAGGCCTGATACGGCTACAAATATCCATGACATCTTTTCTCAACTGGGCCAAGGATAGCCTAACCAGCTTTCCCTTTCTTGCTTGCCTTGAAAACAAGTTTTATAGAAAAAGACATAGAATAATCAAAATAACAAACATGAAAGCTAACCGTTCAAAACTCTTGACGCATTCTTAAGTCATTATATTTCAAATATAGCTCCTAATGGTTAGCAAAGCATGTTAGAGTATGAGAGTGAACTTAAGAAGATTTCACTCTGTGTTCTAGAACTTGGTCATAATTTTAAGAGACAAAAACTTAAAGTTGTTAGCCTCCAGAGCTAGTTTAAATCCAGGGGGATGAGTCATGCCAATCAAATTTACTAGAGACTGATATATAAACCAAAATTCCAATTTATTCCTTTTTTTTTTTTCTTTTATGAAAAACATCACTGCCATAAAGACCAGAAAACTCTGGTCAACATGTTTTCATTCAAAAGGAACATTTACATGAGAATCCAAATTATAAAGCATATCTGGTAACTATGAAATCAACACACAGGAAATAATTTGGGTGATTTAACTATTCTATCCTTTCAGTTCCTCACTTGGCTTCTATAACATGACTGTTGGTTCTCTTGACTTACTATACACACTTTCCCATCATTTTTTAGGAGCTTCTCTTCCTTTGACTTCTATTTCCTGCCCCTTTGCATTCTGTACAGTCTTAGTCTCCTCACAGTACTCATTCTCCCTAAGTGAGATCACGCTCTCTGGCTATAATAGATATAGGTTATTTCCCAGCTTCCATTGCACAACTCTCTCTTGTGTTCACTCATGCAATTTGAGTGAACCACCCCCACCCCCAACTCCAAAAATGATCCCACCAGCATAAAAATATCAGAATCACCCTCTCCTCCCTTCAACCAGTTTTTGTCTCAAAAGCCAATCAGAGTGAAGCACAGGATTTTTGTATGGACAAGAGAGAAGTATTTTTTTTCTTTCTTTGGATGATAAGGTGTTCAAATGTGACTACTGGAAGAGCTACATACTTTTTTTTTTCCTACTTAGGAGAGCCAACTGACAATAAGACTAACATGTGGAGGAGGGACAGCTGGGCACAGCAATCACAGGGAAAGGAAGTGAATCCCTGAGATCATCATAAACTTTCAAGTCAAACCCAACCTGAACCCATGCTACCTCTAGACTTCTTTGTTTTATGAGTCAATAAATTCCCTTTCTGTTAAAGCTGAAGGAGTCCAGAATAAGCCACTGTAGCATAAAAAATATTTTTAGCTGAAGGCATTTGAATTCCTGAAATCCCTTATCTGCCTTAAAGGCAGAGCCTCCCACAAAAACCTCAATTATCATAAATCTTCTCCCAGGGAGCAACCAGGAAACATTGATTCATATCACTAGAGACCTGAGAATTGTCACCACACCTAAATAGACATTGTCACAAAACTATCATATCTCCAATCTATTCTCCTAAGGGCCCATTTATCTTTCCTAAATTACTTGTTTTCCCATATCTGCCCTTACCCCCTACCCTCCACCTTCTAAAAAGTGCTTTGTTTTCACATAAGTGTCCTTTTACCTCTACCCTTCACCTATTGAAAGGATATATAAACCCCAAATTCTAATTACCCCTGTGAATCACTTTTCTTTGTGAACTCCCCTACACAGTATGTGATTAAAATAGCTTTTCTCTTGCTAGCCTGTCTTTAGTCAGTTTAATTTATAAGCTCCCAAAAACTAAATCTAAGAGGATAGAGAAAGATTTTTCTTCCTGACAAAGCCTGTTTGAGTTGGGTTTTCTATTATCTGCAACTGAAAGCAACTGTGGTAGAGATGATGATTAATATTTACCATTCTTATTTTATTCTTGTGTACCCAGGAAATTCACACTTCCTAGCTCCCTTACTTCTATATTGGGCCATGTGCCCATTTCTAGCCAGTGGAATGTAGACAGAAGCAATGATTGCCCAATGTAAGCCTGACCCATAAAACTTCCAGGGATTTATAGTTCCTTTTTGTTGTTTACACATCAATCTGCCAGATACAGAAAACTCTTGAGGCTGAGGAGCTAAAGGATGGCAGCAACATGAGATGGAAGGACACTGGGACTCTCTTTTTTTTAATCCTCACCTGAGGATATGCTTTCATTACCTTTAGAGAAAGGAAGGGAGAGGGAGGGAGGGAGGAAGGAAGCGAGAGAGAGAGGAAGAGGAAGAGAGAGAAAAATATCGATGTGAGAGAGAACTACTGATGGGTTGCATCCCACACGCACCTCGACCAGGACATTAAGACTCTTAATAATTGGCATGAGTACATCCACACATTGATGGACTGATTAGAGCAAAACATAAACCTTTATTAGGTTATGACTCTGACACTTGAGGGTTATGTCAACATGAGAAACATTCGAACCTGTAGAAATATTTTATAAGAGCTTATTTGAGCCAAGCTGACATATGCTGGGGAACAAGATCTCAAATTCTCCACAGAATAACAGTTTTGCAGCTTCTTTTATGCATTTGAAATTTAGGAGGGAACATATGGAAGATTGCATGGAGGTAGGCAAAAGCAAGGTAGGGACTGGATTTCATGTTAGTTAGGATTATGTGCTGTCTTGAGGGTAGTTATTTCAAAGGTGTGTTAACCTAGATGCACAGAAACAATGGACATTTGCTTAGGCCAAATATGAACATTTTACTAAAGAAGTTATATGCCAGTTTTCAAGATGGTGTTGAAGTGGATTTTTTTTGCACCTCCTCCCAAAACCAAACTGGAAATAAAACGAAATTGTAGTACATTTACTCTGAATTACCAACTGAAGACTAGCTGAAGAGGAGACTTTTAACAAGGAAGGGCAGAAAGCAACTCGAGACTGGTAGGAAGGGAGGGGTTGCTAGAGGGACTGGCTCAGCTCCCATGGTTGGAAGGCTGAGGGTGAGGAGGGATATCTCACTGCTGGAGGGTTTTCCGTGAAAGGAGTGAGGCCTGGACCCCATGCGGGGCTCCCCAGCCCAGAGCACTAGAGCTGAGAACAGTTGCCCACATTACATCCGGTAGTGAAAGGTGGCAGGGCTTCCATCTGCCAGGGAGAGGAGGAGTCTGTCAGAGACAAAGCCACTTTTTTTTTAAACCATAGCACAGGATTTTCATTTGCAGCCATTCACCCAAGGCTTCAGTGCAGGGAGGGCAGTGCAGAGTAGAGTCACCTGAGGAGAGGCTGGGGTGGGAGGCACAGGGGGAGAAGTGGAAAAGTGGCAGCTGGGAGACCTATGCTCAGTCATTCCCCCTCCCCGCCTCCACTGCAGCAGCCATTTTTCCTGAGAGTTGCAAGCCCCTCCCAGCAGCAGTAGCCTGTGGAAAGGATGTAGTTTGCCCCACCCTCAGGAATCCCACTTGCCCCACCTTGCATCTGAACCCCTGCTGTGGAGGCAGCAGCAAAGGCCAAGCCTACAGGTTGGGACAGTTTCCGGGGACATCAGCGACTAGCTCTGGGGTAGAGCCATTCCCCCCCAATATTCCAGGAACCTGACTGTTCCCCCTCATGGAACAGCTGATAGAAACTACCAGCTTCCAGCAGCCCCTACCAGACAGCCTACTGCTAAGGTCAGGGAAATATTCTGAGACAGACTCAGATGTGTGGCTCTGGGATGGGGGAAACATCCACCACCTTCCCTGAAATCTAAACAGCACCTCCTCCTCACAGGAGACCCAGAGGTCTCATCCTCCCAATTCCCCCAAAAGCCCTTTCAGAAATAACCTTTTCAGTGACTAAGTCTGGCAGCTGGGTGCTGCATGGAGGTGGGTGGAGATGAATCCCCAGATGCCTTGGTACATTTGCTGCCGGCCCCTGGGCCCAGTGCTGCTAACTAGCAGGGCCTAAAGCACAGCTTGGCCCCTCCCACGCACAGCCAAGCCCTATGGGGTCAGCCACAAACTGTGGGCCGCTTGAACCTTCAAACAAGTTGCCAAGAGCGAAACGTGGACAGTTTCTGACAGTGGCTGGAATCAAAGTACCTCCTGGGAGGCCCAGAAATGGCATACAAACAGTCAGCCTCAGTCAACATTAGAGCAAGATGCACAGGTA